CTTCTCTAAATGTTCCTTAGGTGTGTGTGAACGGTTGTTTGTCCTGTTTGTCTCTTTGTTTCCCTGCGATGTACTGGCGACCTGTCCAGGGTGTACCACTATTCTCGCCCGTAGATAGATGAAGATAGGCATCAGCACCCCTCGCAACCTGGCTTGGGATAAGCTCGATGGAAAATTGATGGATTTTTTTTTATTTTGTTTGCGCAGAACTTTGTCCTCTGTGTTTGTTTATAGGTGTTTTATGAATAAAACACTGAAGATGCCTTGCAGTTTGTTTTTCCACTGCTGCCCTTGTTGAAGGTTATCTCAGTGTTTCTTGGTGGGAAACTGAGTCGAACATTTTCTTGGAGTCATCCAGGGATTGCTCACACTGCTCTTGCTTGCCCTGAGTCTTGAGTGACTGCTCTGTCAGGCTTTATCTGCTACTCTGACCCTCTGGTGTTGTTTCCAACATGTTTCTGAGTTTTACTCATCCCCTGACGTATTTGCCTTGGCCGTGGTTGTCAAAAACCAACATGCTGTCTTATTGGAAGAGATTTAAAAAGTTGAACCCAGCTTTAACTTGTTTAACAATAGCATTGCTGCTAAGGTCAAACTTTTTGGCAAGCTGAGCTTTTGAGCCCTAACAGACAACCTGCTTTTCAAAGTTATGGTGCCAGATGATTGTCCTCCAGCATGTTAGCAAGAATTATCTTGAATATTAAGTGAAAAAATGATTCATGACTGAGGGAGAGAATGAAATCCCATATAAATAAAAAATGTAATAAAAAAGCAGCTACATCTGCCATTTCCAAATTTAAAAGATTTTATTTTACTTTCGGATTAAAAAAATATTAGCCCAATTTGATTTCATCAACTAGATTAAAACTAAAATAATAGCCCTATTTATTAAAGATAGTAAAAAACCTTTGGACGATAAAATACTTGCAGACTCTTGCACCTAGAAACAGAACAACTTGGCACAAGGGATATAAATAGAAGCTGGAGATTTTATGACAGCTCAGGAACTGTGAAGGACACCGAAGAACGTCATCATCTGTGAACCACATCCAGTAAGAAAGCCTGCTTTCTCTTTGGAAGAAAATGGCTGCATTTATTTTAATTAAAACAGAACTCAATCAAGAGACAAAACCAACAAAACAGAGCATACAATTCTGGTTTGAAATAAATAGATTTTAGCTACTCAAATTAATAAAATGCATAATTTTGTATTTAATTTTGAATATCATCTATAATACCTCTAGCTGTCTCTCTCTGCTATCTACTCCTTCTGTGATGGACTAGCGACCTGTCCAGGGTGTACCCCTCCTCCCTTCGCGACCCAGCTTGGAATAAGCATGACGGAAAATGGGTGGATGGATAATCTATAATGATAATCTATCAATCATATGTACTGATAAATACATGCATAAATAGTCACAATGTCTTTGAATGATGGAAAATGAAAAAAGATTAAGTTAAGGCACGACCCAAACTGAAGTTCGTTATTAACCTCCGAACCAACAGAGGACAAACAGTATGTCCAGACAAAAAATAGGAAAAATACTTCCAAGTATTTTTCCTATTGGGTAGTAATCTCAGGGAAGTATACAAAATACTCCCCCCACATTGCAGGTAAAACAAGACCACACACACACACACCCACACACACACAAAGAGCCAATCAAATAAAACTAAGGAAACAGGAAATAGGCTTAAAATAAAAGAAAAAAACAACCAAATTCCCGAAGAATGATAAACAGCTGAGTGGCAATAAGCAAAAACAGATCTGTGGTGAATTTGCAGCCATTTATTAATCCAGGCATGGTGCATGGCTTTGAGGAACAGCATGCACCTCCGTTATATGCAGGTTCTCCATGCAGCTTTCCTGAGTTCGACTTAAGACCTTTGAATCTTAGCTGGATGTCTTCACCCCTTCTCTCTATCTGCCTATTTCTTGTGTAATAATTTGTGCCATAAATAATAAATAACAAACCTGTATGCATCCTACTGATAGCTGGAGAGGAAAAAAACATCCATACCATGCAATATAGTTTCCAAAAACGTAGTAGATTAGCAACAAAAAACTGTTATTTGCCCTTTTTGCTCTTTCTGTTTTACTAAGTCAAATAAAAACACAGTATTTGAGTAAATTTTTTGATGAACAGGAGGTAGAATACACCAATACAAAGTCTTTTTGGTTTTGTGTTGGTAAAATCCCTTTGAAGTACTTTATCTTTACACATTAACATGAAGTCTAATGACATGCACTTTTAACTCACTTGAAGTTAGAGTGAACCTTAAAATACTTAGGTAGGTTCACCTAAAATTAGCCTTTGCAAAGTTGAAAATTTGAGCCAGAAGATTTACACGCGGTGGGAAATTATCCATTTTAATAACCCCAAAGGGAAATAAAATGTTATGGTAACTCATGGGCAGTTTTTTCAGCAAGGTTTTATAGATATTGATAGCTTCTGTAGTGGTCTGTTTTTCAACTTATCTAGAGAAGCTTTTAACCGAAGACACCCTGTTGGTGTTTAACAGTTTTCTAAAGCAGATGTTTATTGGTGTCCCTAATGTTCTTCACTTTAAGAAGAATTATTCTTTGTGAAATCATCTCCAGAGGAGTTCCCCCCATGGTTTTACTAATGCTCTTTAAATCTCTATCTGCTCGTATGATCAGAAACGCTTATATGGAGACAATGGAGTCTGGGATATGATCCTTCGCCGACGTGTGAGTAAAACGAATAATGCTACATATCTGTTATTCTGGGTGGGTACTTGCTAGTGCTTGGACTTCTTCTAACTTATGTCCTTTTGTTTTGCACAATTTGTTTTAGATCAACTGTAGCAATACTGAATGGAAGGCATTTTTAATCTGCAACTCACAGAACACAATTTGTATAGTTGTACTCAAGAATTTGAAGAGGTGTAACTTTTGTTTGGTAATTGTGTTAAATTTAAAAAATATATACAGTTACAAAACACCAAAGTAACAATGCACAAATAATTTTGCAACAATAGTTCTCAACCATTTGAAGCAAAACTGAGAATGTAAGAGGTTTTTGATGTGCAACTTGTAGAACAGAATTTGTGTACTTGTACTTAAAATTTGAACAGGTGTAAAAAAAAAATGTGTGAATTATTATTTTTTTGTTCTACACATACAAAACTTAGAATGTAACTCTCTCTACACCTTCAAATTCACACTTACAATGCACAAATAGTTTTGAAACAAAATAACCTTCATACTTAACCCCACACTGCTCCCCGGGTGCCACACTGTGGCAGCCCACTTTGGGTTAAATGCAGAGAATTATTTTCTCCAATGTGAGATCAATAAAGTTCAATTACTGTTATTTCGGTGTATGGTGCGAAATTTCAACAGGGAACAATTATTTCTGTATAACATGAGAATAAAGTCAGAATTCTGACTTTTTTCTCAAAATTCTGACTTTTTTTCAAACAAAAGTCAGATTCTTTTTTAGAATTCTGACTTTAAGCTCAGAATTCTGACTTCAGAATTTTAACTTTAATGTCAGAATTCTGATTTTTTTCTCGGAATTCTGACCTTTTTCTCAGAATTCTGACTTTAATCTCAGAATTCTGACTTTTTTCCTCAAAATTCTGACTTTTTTCTCAAAATTCTGACTTTAATCTCAGAATTCAGAGATTAAAGTCAGAATCAATGCACAAATAGTTTTGAAACAAAATTAAAGGAATAGTACACCCAAAACATGATTAGCCTTCATTTTCTACTCACCCCCATGCTGAACAACACTCTGGAGTACTTTTTTGATATCTCAAATGCATCTGGAGATCTGGGAGGCTTCTTGCTGTCTGCTGACATTCAAATAATGGAGGTCTATGGCGCCCGAGGCAGAAAGGTCCATAAAAGTCCACAAAAAACGTGTCAATATTCCTCCATACTGCTGGTCCAATGTATTCCAAGTGTCCTGAGTGGGTAGCGTCCATAATTTACTCGAAACGAAGTCATTTAGAATGTTTTTAGAGCCTAAACAGTAGTGTATAGGATTTCCTAAAAGCGCGTTCACGAGTCTACGGAAACCGCGGCAGACCAAACCAGATGAAAGTGCGCATTCAGCGTCTGCTCTGCCGATAATGCAAGTGTAGACGAAGAAATGTGCTCTTTACCTGTGCAAAGAAAGAAACAACGAAAGAAAAATGTCTGAGGACTTCAGTGTTGAGGAAGAGCATGAGTTCTTTGCCGAGCTGAATGCACACTTTCATCTGGTTTGGTCTGCCGCGGTTTCCGTAGACTCGTGAACGCGCTTTTAGGAAATCCTATACACTACTGTTTATGCTCTAAAAACATTCTAAATGACTTTGTTTCAAGTAAATTATGGACGCTACCCACTCAGGACACTTGGAATACATTGGACGAGCAGTATGGAGGAATATTGACACATTTTTGTGGACTTTTATGGACCTTTCTGCCTCGGGCACCACAGACCTCCATTATTTGAATGTCAGCAGACAGCAAGAAGCCTCCCAGATCTCCAGATGCATTTGAGATATCAAAAAAGTACTCCAGAGTGTTGTTCAGCATGGGGGTGAGTAGAAAATGAAGGCTAATCATGTTTTGGGTGTACTATTCCTTTAACCCCACACTGCTCCCTGGGTGCTGCACAGTGGCAGCCCACTGCTCCCCAAGGTGATGGGCTAAATGCAGAGAATTATTTTCTCCGATGTCAGATCAATAAAGTTCAATTACTATTATTTTGCTGTATGGTACATTTCAACAGGGGACAATGCCCCGTTGGCCCCTCTCCTAGATACGCCTCTGTCTCAGCTCAGAAAAAGATTTTTTTCTCTGCCTAATTTTATTACTACATTTGATACTACTGTGAATAATGCATTAATCATCTATTTCAGCTAACAATGTCTGCAGAATGAAGCAGGGTGAGATTGGTATGGTCTTATCACATTTCTCCGCCTCTCTCTCTATATTTCCCTCCTCACTTCCCATCTGTGTCTCTCTCTCTCAGTTGAGGGGTGGAGGCAGACGGACAGGCTTTTTTTCTTGGATGGATGAAGAGAACAGAGAGAAGGGAGGAGAAATTAGTAGCTCTCCTCCTCAGTCACTGAAGGCTGTGATTACCGGAGACCTCCTGCATCATCAGCGGGGACTTCTTGATGGGGAGCGGAGAGATGAGCTGAGGAGCTCTTATTGATCCGCTGCATCAGGTAAGCCTCCCTGCTACCGATGATCATCGCCTGTTAACATGTAATCATCTGTTTTGTGAGGTGGGGGTGGACAGTTACATAACAATGCAAGACGAAGCAGAGATTGATAGAGATGGGAGTAAGAGCGGAAAATGACGCGTCTGGAAGCGCATCTGCGGATCACTTTGTTGTTGTTTTTGGTTTTGTTTTGTTGTTTTTTCCCTCCCGGTGAAAAGGAAACAGCCGGTAAAGATGGAAGAAACTGGAAGAAAATCCCACCAGGCTGTATGGGAGCCTACAGGCCTCCCATCACCAATGGAAACAATTTAGACCAATAAACGAGGCAGCTACTGATTAAGGAGACAGGGAAATTTTCTCATGATTACTTGGATCATCTGCGGTTTGTACCTGATTCCCAACAAAATAATTGAGCCCAGGGTGATCACACAATAAAGCCCTGCTGTGGTCATAAAGATAAAAAATTAACCAGTGCTACAAGTGAGCATCCATTACCTACCTGCTTAATTATCCCCCAACCCACGCAAAACTCCACAAGTAGAAAAAAGTTGTTTAAACAGGTTAGAACTGTGTACGGAACATGATTAGAGCCACTCAAAAGAAAAAAAAAATACTAATTTTTAAGTTGTATTTCTGTATAACATGAGAATAAAGTCAGAATTCAGACTTTTTTCTCTGAATTCTGACTTTTTTTTCTGAGAATTCTTAAATCTCAGAATTCTGAGATTTAAATCAGCATTCGGAGAAAAAAAATCTGAATTCTGACTTTTTTCTCAGAATTCTGACTTTAATCTCAGAGTTATGAGGTTAAAGCCAGAATTTCCGAGAAAAAAGTCAGAATTCTGACTTTATCCCATATTAAACTGAAATAATACTTAAAAATCAGTTAACTTTTTTAAATTTCTTGAGTGGCTCTAATCCTCTTCCATAACTGTGGGCTGGACTACCCCAGAATAAATAAATTAAAAATTGCTAAATTGTCATATAAGTTCCAAAAAGTGCAATATATCATTTCTGAATAATAATTGTGCATATTTAAATTTCAATCGTCTAAATAAAATTTTGCTCAGTACACATTATGCATTTTGACATATTTATTTTGGCAGAGAAGGGAAGTAAAAATAAACATGCTCATGTTTTGTAGGTCATAAACCTTTTATAAAAAGCTACTAAAAATAGGAAATATTTTTAGCAAATGACTTGATGAAGTAGTCATTTAAGATTTGTGTCCATATAAACTTTATTATTTTTTTTTACATTTGAGGTAACTAATGAGATATTGTGTTCTTAGATTCAATTTTTTTTTACTGTGCATCTTGTTTGTAGTACCATTATAGTAGCCTAAATAAACTGAACCCTTTCTTACTTTTATAAAAATAACAGACTAACACTGTTTCCTGTCAAAGATGTTATCTTTAATATATTTTAGAGGAAGATATCAATGAATATATAGAAGCAAAAACATCCTCTCTTATTTATATTTCCTTATACACTTCAATTAGCATAGCAGCACATCTAAAAAAAACAGGAAAGTAGAAAACCTTTAGTTACTGGCAATTATAAAACACACTGTTTCAGTTTTTTTTTTTTATCTTAATCCAAAAAAAAGAAGAAGAAGAAGGGGATCCCAACATCTCTGTACCATATAGCAGTTAAAATAGGCTCTGTCCCAAATGCTGCATCAGAGAGGCAGGAATGATTGCTTGCAAAGTTGAATGAAAAAGTAAAAATACAAAATCCTTAGTCCAGAACTGATTGACATGAAAACTCAAGAACCAAAAAACTAGGAGACACTAGGGAGGAATAAACCAAAAGAATGACGAGGATCCAGCAATGAGTAACTGAACAGAACAGGAGGTGTACATGTGGGAGACAGAAACAATGGGAGGACTAATTAGCTGATAGGGAGCAGGTATAGACAGAAGCAACTAGAAGAAGCTAAGGGAAAGGAGACTGGCACAAGGGGGCAACAGAGAGTAACTCAAAAAATAAAACGCTGCTTAAATGTTACACTAAAATGGAAAAGAAACCAATGACCAAGAAAACACAGAATGACATAAATCAAAGTGTAAATGAAAACTTAAAAAGAAATTTAAAGGTATATTGGAGAATATTCTTTTTCTGGGTGGATCATCAAAATAAGTGGTCCTCTTAATTGTCCATCATTGTGGTGATATGGAGTCTGACATAGTGGAAAAATCTTCTTTTGGAAAGTAAGCTTGTATGAGCGATGATAACAGCAAGTTTTAAACAGAGCATGCACGAGGAGAAATGGGCTTGCATGCATTTAATAGGGGTTCCTTCTCGGGGGTGGGTACAGGGTTGTGCATGTGCATATTTCTTATAAAATGAAGAGGGTGGGTCTTTTCAAAATTTGTGAAAATCCTCCACTATACCTTTAAACAGAAGTCATCTAAGGACAGAATCATGACAATAATCTTTATTAAAAAAAAAGATATAGACTGCTCAAATTTCCACCTCTTTTTAGTTTTTTTACATACAAGTTTTTAGCACTGCAATAAAGCTACCAGAATTTAAAAACATTTAATATAGTTAGGTCATACAAACATTGAGATAATTATTTAATTAGAATGTTATTTATTTATTTATTGTGAACACAAATCACCTCTAATTGTTACGATTAACATGCTAGCTAGTACAAGCTAGTAAAGCAGCATATATTATCGCCACAGGAAGTTAGTAAAGTTATGGTTTATTATTAATATAGGCCATTGTTTCAAAACTAAGATTTTACACCTTTAGTTCATTTATTCACTATTTTGCTGTAATACCTCACCTGAAAAGAGAAATAACACTAAAACCAAAACAAAATGAAGACGTCTTCTTGCAATAACATTGGTGTAGTAGCAGTTTATGGCCTATAAGAGCCATTTTTTTTCTGCAGAAAGGCCTTTATTGGTTTTAGTAATTAAATTAAACAAGGTCTAAATATTTAAGCGGTGGACTGAACCTTACATTTATGGCTTTTGAAACATGGTTGTACCAAATCAAATTTCTTTTATCATAAAATATTGACTAGGATTTACCTTGAAATATTTGGACAATATCTTAACATTAATATTTTTAAATGTATTCTTACAATATTTGTTGACCTAAACTGAACTAATAATTTTTTTTTCTCGGAAATATTAAAACTTGCCTCGCTTTTTTGTTGTTGTTTTTTTTACCAGAAAATTACATCTAGATGCTGTCTAATTTTCTATGGCTGAGTTGTACATTATATGTTTCATAAGTTTTTCACTTTTCTCCTTAAAATGCAGCACAATATTTTAGTGGATAACCTGGATAACATTATGTGACTTTATTTGTAACCACTGCACATGGACTCTGCTCTGACCCTCCCCTTATGCCTGTTTTCTGTCTCACTGAGTGCAGTTTTAAAGGAGTTTTTGTGTGCATCTGTTTGAAACCCAAGAAATAAAAGAAAAATGTAATATCTGTAACTTGTTTCCTATTGTTTATGTTAAAAAACCTCTCATTAGATTTGGTACATTTGGTACAGTCACAACTCTACCTATTGCTGTTTATATTTAAATTACCTAGCCACAGATATCTGAGGAAAAATATTGGAGATGCAGCAGATTAAGTTTTCCATGAAGCATTTGTCAGTGATGGGATTGTTAAATGTAAACTAAAAAGTGATTATAGAGGTAGATGGAAAGTAGCAGTGTAAAAATGTATGAACTATTACTTTTGAAGATATGAAGCAAACGCTTATGGGATTTGTGTTTGTTTTTTATTACATTATAGGACCTTATTTATAAGAAATTGAATAACACAGATTGAACCATTTCCCCTTTTCTTTCCTTTTTCATCCACAAGCTAATGGAAAGCTGCAAAGCTGAAACAATGTGCTCGCCCATTGAAAGTAGTCGTTGAATGCTGCTATGAGTCACTGTTTCAAATCTGTCAGATTTTTTATGCTTTTTTAATGATTTGAAGAAGTGATTTATTTGGCAACCTTTAAGGCCAACAATAATAGTAGTGTGGTCAGTGGTTTTTATTCATTGGCATTGCTAAAGATGTTGCTTTTAATTTAAGTCAATTAATAGCCTCAATGAGAAATGTCCCTATAACAGTGACTCATATGGTGCAGGTGTTCAAGGAGTAGCAAGGCTGTGAAAGGCTGAGGCTTTAGATTTGCTCTATTTACATATTCATTGGGGAGTATTCTCTGATATTTTATATATTTAACTTTATTAGGTATTCTCTTCTAAAAAAGAAAGTACTAAAAAAAGGCTGTTTCATGAGGTAAATGTCTCATTTATGTTGAATTATAATATGTAAGTGACAGTGGAAAATGCAAAACAACAGCGGCAGTGGCTTAGCAGGCAGGGGTTTGTCCTACAATCGAAGGGTCGATGGTTAGACTCTTTTAAGAACTTAGTTTTTGTTTACCCCCTGTTAAAAAGTATGGGCTACCTGGCTGTCATGGAAATAATACTAGACCTCTCTTATTTTCATCTGTTTCCTTTTCTAAAGGTATATTGGTCAAAGAATGGATTGAATAAAACAAAAAAAGGTAGTCCAATATTTTCTCGTATGACTATTTTGTTAATATTTTTTACACGTACATAAATACTCCTACCCACCTTTCTATCCTCTAAAGGATCAATATTGTCATGATTCTGCCCCTTCTGGACTTGTTCTGCTTAAGTTTTCATTTTGAGTTTTCAGTTACACTTTGATTATTGTGATTATGTGTTTTCTAGGTCATTGGTTTCATTTCCATGTTGTGTCATTCTAGTTGTTTTCTGGTTGTATTTTAGTTCTTATGTATTTGTTTTTTACTCTCTGTTGCCCCCTTGTGTCAGCCTCCTTTCCCATAGCTCCCTTCTAGATCCTTCTGTCCACACCTGCTCCCAATCAGTTGATTACTCCATTCATTGTTCTGTTTGGCATACATGCACCTACTCTGCAGTTACTCAGTGCTGGATTCCCTTTATTCCCTCCTTAACCTGTATATTCCCATTTGTTCTGGT